GGCACGCATGTCACCTCAGCGCGCGCTAGGTCAGTCAATGGAGCGGCCATGCACACTGGGATCTCTCGGTCGACCAAGGATCGCGGGATGGGTGCCGCGAATAAGTCATCATACACCTTCATCTCGGCGGAGGTAATCCTCTAGTTGGTCCCAACGATCCCAAGGGTGTGCAGGTTCTAAACTTGTGCCCTTCTCTCGGTGGTGGGCGGCGCCGTAGGTGGGGATGTGGTCGAAGTCGAGCGAGCGCGTCGGGGGGCAAAGTTGAGCGGGTGGCACGACCTCTTCCTAGGGGTTGGCAAGGCCGCGCTGATGTGCTTGGTGGCGGCAGTGAGGAACTCGCCCAACGTTTTGGTTCACGGCGGGGCGGCGCGGCCACGGGATCGGCGCAGCATGATCTGCGGGGAGGTGAAGCACCCTGATGCAGATAGGCGCGAGCCATGCTGGGCGCATGCCGGTGCGAGCTTGGGCGCGGTAGGATCTGTGGTGTGCGTTGGCATCGTGGGCTAGGCCAGAGGCCTTTGCAGAATTGTCCCTGGGGTGTGGGGCTCAGGCTCTCTGGCGGGAGGATTCGCGCCAAAGGCAAGGTGTGCTTCCCCACCCTCGGTTGCGCACGCGTGCGGCCTGAAGGACTGGTCATCGGGCACATCCGACCCGACTGCAAGCGCTGGCATTGGCGAGACTCCGCTTCGCCCTGACATGGCAGCTGGCCTTACTGGTGGCACGGGCTGCTAGTCTGGCACCTAGCTCAGAGTAGCCAGGTCCTGACAATCCATCGAATTGGATGAGCCAGATGTGATCCCCTTGCAATCGTCCTCGGGTACTCGAAGTGCAGCCCGATTTGAATCTCGAGATGCTTCAGGAGGGTTCGCCGTCAATGAGAGATTGCCACTTGGCACCGGGCTCGATCCGTTATCAGTGACCGAAGCCCCTAAAGCCAAAGAGGTGTCGCCAACGGGCATCGTCGTCATGGCCCCGGCAGCCCCTGCTCGTCCACAACTTTGCGCACCGGGTCCACATGCAAAGCGCTCTTTTGCTTTTTCTTGCATGGCGACGAGATTGGTGGGGCCCTGCTGACCTGGCCAAGGGGCCATGCTGCATCTCTTATCGTACGGGCGACAACGTTACCATGTCGGGAGGAATGGGCTAGTCGGGCGCCACGGCTACCCCATCGGCGCGAACTACGCGGTTGCCGACGCGCCGGAGCGAGGAGTCCATGGCCATGTTGTTCGCTCGGTTAGGAGGCGGCGCTCGGAAGCGCCGACGCTTGCTGCCTCGGGGGCGCGCTCCCCTAGGGCCAGGAGCACGGTCTTGGTCGTTGCCATCACGCATGACATCCCCTCGTCCCGCACCGTGCTGGGCGTGGAGAGGCGGTGCTCTGCTTGTCTTGATGCGAGCCAACGCATAGGGTACGTGAGGGTCCTGATGATCAGCGCGCGGGGACCCGCTCGACGATTTCTAGGACGGCGGATGCTGTCTGGACTGTGCACGCGCCCCGCAGCCAGAACGTGGCTAGGTCAATCCTCGAGCGCTTGTTGGGGTGGAGGTGCTCGGTCCAGCAGCTCTCCCCAAGGATGTGTTCGGAGGTGGAGAGGTGCCATGCCTGTGTGGGACTGCTGCGAAGCTCCAGCCCGACGCGGTACTCGAACTCGCTGGAGCTGGCGTGGGCGAGCTTGCTCCATGGCCAGATGAAAGGGGAGAAACGCGGTGAGTTGATGAAGTGGTCTCCATCCAGGTGGCGCTTGGCAGAGTGGGAGTTGATGAGGGTCAGAAAGTCCTCGGGTGGTGCACGTGGACTGTGAAGTCGCCGTCGGTGAGCTCAAAGGTGTTGAGAAGCATGTCGGAGACCTCGGCTGCGGACACGCACGGCCTGTTGCCGGTGATGGAGGCAACCATCGCACAGCCCAGGACCTCCTCTGCCTCCATCTCTATCAAATGCGCCATGATAACTCTCACCGGCTTAGGTGCACGCGTTGCAGGCATGGCGGGCGGCGGGAGGCGGGGGAGGCGAAGGTTGGGCATGACCTGTGCGGCCAGTGGCAGTGCGGGGTTTGCCAGGCGGCGTCCCGGCGCCTGGGATCACAAGAGCGCGAGTCGTGGCCAGACAGGAGGCACCGGCGGCATCGGATGCCGTTGGTGCAGTCTGGCACGCGGTGGCAGTGGTCGAAGCAACGAAAGCAGAGCCAGTGATCTCCTCCAGAGAAGGGCTACACCAGCACATCGGCGGTGGGCTGGGCTCGACGGCATGGCGCGGACTGCGGTGGCGGTGGTTCTTGTGCCAAGGCTGCTGGTAATCGTCAGCATTGACCTCAACGCCGCCAGAGATATGGTGCACCTCGGAGCAAGGGCCGAGGCGGGTTGAGGCAGGCGGCCGGGAGGGTGCTGCGGCCCATGGAGCAGAGGACGCCAGCAACGCAGAGGGTGCCGGCGGGGTACGGGCGACATCGTTGTACGAGCGCGTCGAGGACTCACTCTCCGAGTCGATCCAGCGGTCGCCGGAGGACACGCGGTCGCCGGAGAGGGTCGCTCGGTGCTCGACAGGGTCAGTGCTGGGTGGCACCATGGCAAGGGGAAGGGGGAGGGGGGCTACTGGCGGGGATTCGACGGCGGCGAGGCTGGTGGGCGAGGCGGAGCTGGGAGTCATTATTGACTAACCCTTTCTGAGCGGGAGAGAATTGATCTTGTGCATTTGTCTCAGCCATGACTCTGGTTAAGAAACTAGAAACATGATACTGTCCATTACCTATCTTATCCTCAGTCTAGATGTTCTAAGTTTCTTGTTCATTTTCTATTGAAATGTAGTGGTTTACTTTGTTCCTTCTTGAAGTGAATATAACATATCATTGGTTTATTTCTAGGTGCTTAGCTCTTGGTACCAAGAGAATGGCTCGCTTGAATGCCATCGTAAGGTCTTTGCCCTCTGTGGAGACATTAGGATGCACAACAGTCATTTGCAGTGACAAAACTGGCACTCTTACGACAAACATGATGTCAGTGTCTAAGGTGAGTACTCCAGTTTACATCATCATTTTTTTTAGTTGGCCCTTTCATTTTATCTTCCTTTTTGCATACATAAGTGTGCAGTGGGATTTGACTAAAATACAATATGCGCTTTAAGATTAAAGTCTGTTACACTTGGTCAATATATTATGTTCACCGCATAACTAACAAGGGTCTTAATATCCCAGGTATGTGTTGTGCGGTCTGTGCACCAGAGACCAATAACTGATGAGTACTCTATTAGTGGAACCACATTTGCTCCTGATGGGTTTATATATGACGCCAGTGAAAATCAGGTACAATGATGTATTTCTCAGCTGTCACTAATTTGGTGTGTTATGAAAGCAACTTATCTCTATTACATAGCCCATGGGGCATATATATATTACACATGACTTGGGGTACAAGGAAAGGAAACATAGCCTAATAGGACTAATAGGACTCCTAGACCAATACTTCCTAACATCCCCCCTCGAATGCAAAGCGTATGCAATAACATTGCATTTGAAGAAGTGTAACACTAGGAAAAAAAATGATAATCCAAATCCGTGTCTTGAGAGTGTCGGCGTAGCATGAAGAGTCTTCAAAACCTGTCGAGTCGCCAAAGGGGATAACGAAGAGATGGCACATCAGAGGAAGACACCGCATCAATAGAAGATACAAGAGAAGTTTCAAGAGGAGATGGGTTGTCAAGAGAAGATGGCACATCAAGAGAATGAAGCATTGCTTAAAGAATCATGGCCCATGAAAACCGACGGCGAATGAAAGCAACTTATCTCTATTACATAGCCCATGGGGCATATATATATTACACAAGGAAAGGAAACATAGCCTAATAGGACTCCTAGACCAATACTGATACTTCCTAACATGGTGATCATTATAGTGCAACGGCCTGAACCCTGTATTTTCATTTGTCTTAACAGCTGAAATTATTATTTTTTGACTGCAGTACAAGAACACATTGTGTAAATGATACCAAATTACCAAACCCATGACACATGATCAAGAACACATTGTGCAACTCTGCTAAGCTCAGCTTTACCAGGGAATGCCTTGCATTAGAGTAGAATGACAGAGTATGATGGTGCATAGCATAGCAACAATGGACCAGTTCAGTACACAACTTTTGACTGAGATGTACAGCTCTACCCAGCGAGACAAATGTTATGCTCTTGTAAATGGATTAATTGTGTGACCAGCCATATCAGTATATTAGCGACCCGCGGAACACTTTGGGTTATTTATCGAGTGACCATGATGTCCCTAGTCAGTGTGCAAAACATTGTACATGTGACATTTGGTATAGACACTAACTTTTCAGGCGGCTTTCATCTGTTGCAGCTGGAGTTTCCTCCTCAGTCCCCATGTCTCCTTCATATAGCCATGTGTTCAGCTCTTTGCAATGAGTCCACTTTACAGTACAATCCTGATAAAAAAAGTTATGAGAAGATTGGAGAGTCCACTGAAGTTGCTCTGCGCGTTCTGGTGGAGAAGGTCAGTTGTTAGTCACGGTATCTGCTTATCAGTGCACTTTTGATAGCTTCCATGGGAACTACCAATCTCAATTTTCATTTTGTTGATTGATTAGGTCGGTCTTCCTGGCTTTGATTCGATGCCTTCAGCTCTGAACATGCTAACTAAGCATGAGCGTGCATCGTACTGCAATCACTATTGGGAAAATCAGTTCAGAAAGGTTATATTTCTCTACTTGTTGGCATTGATATATTGATCTCGTATTCTGTGGCCCTGTATTTGCAGCTCCCTTTAAGAGTACCCCCCTGCCCCTACCCTATGTCTGCTACTCTCATTCATAAAGAACTTCCTTGATTATGAACTTGTTCTGCTAGCATATAAGTAGGCATTAGAAACATCATCCTTCTGTTAGTTGTTAAAAAATATACAGCAGATCTGATACTTTATGCAACTATGCAAGTACTTCCAAAGTTCTCGTGGTATCAGCAGTTGTTCCTCCCACATACTAGAAAATTTAAATCATTTAATTATCTTTTTAAGTAGCTGTTAAGGTTTTCATCTCAAGTCATTATTTAGGTAAACTGCAGTTGACACTTGGATGGAATAGTATATGCACTATCTATTATATTGCTCACACTTTGACTATCCTGCCAGCCAGCCTATATGTGGGAGAAACCATTTTGTATATCCTGTATAGTTAACTGGGTGTGACTTATTTAACTTAAATTTTGATCCTATTTCTTCAGATTTATTTATGATGTTCTTATGTTTTCTTCTTTCTGATTTATTCTTTAGATATCAGTTCTAGACTTTTCCCGAGATCGCAAAATGATGAGCGTCCTTTGCAGTCGAAAACAACAGGAGATTATGTTTTCAAAAGGTGCCCCTGAAAGTGTAATGGCAAGATGCACACATATATTGTGCAATGATGATGGGTCTTCTGTACCATTGACTATGGACATACGTAATGAGCTGGAAGCTAGATTTCAAAGGTCAGCCTTTCCACGTGTAGTTTTTAGGGTTATGAGGTTGCATGTTTTTTAATGGATGTGATTAAATTATTGAAGCATTTAATTCATATAGTCAGATTTAACAATAGAAAAAAGGTTAGCCTTTAAATCTGCATGTAGCTTTTGGGTCATGAGGTTGTATGTTTCTTGATGGATGTGATCACAACATTGAAACATTCAGTTCATATAGGCAGATTTAACAATATAACTGACATTATTTCTGACATGAAGGGACCTCGGTAATTTTGACCAAACTCTGCCACTAAGTTAGCACTTGGGAATGTCATATTGTCGCATATGGTTTTTTTTATTTTCTCTAAATATGATTACTAATCTTTTTTTTCCTACATCAAATGCTTTAGATGAATATGTTCAATGATCTCCGAATGTTTCAGTTTTGCAGGAAAAGATACCCTAAGGTGCCTAGCATTAGCATTAAAACGAATGCCAGAAGGCCAACAAAGTCTTTCCTATGATGATGAGGCAAATTTAACATTTATTGGATTGGTACGCTTTGTCACTCCTGCTGGTTCTGCTGTTCCTTCTTTAGTAGTCCTCTATGTTTTGTTCAATCATTTTAATATGCTTTGCCTTTGTAGGCAGGTATGATTTATGTTAGTTAAGATAGCAGTGCCACTAATAATTGATGATGCAAATTCGTTTGCTACTGGTTCAGGTTGGGATGCTTGACCCTCCAAGAGATGAAGTTCACAGTGCTATCCATTCTTGTATGTCAGCAGGGATTCGTGTTATTGTTGTTACTGGGGATAACAAGGTTGGTCAACATATTTGTTTATTTTTGCTCTAAGATCTTCTGATACTGCTGAGAAAATAAATATGTGCTATTTTAGTCCACTGCAGAATCTCTATGTCGGCAAATTGGTGCGTTTGAGCATTTAGATGACTTTACAGGGTATTCATATACAGCATCAGAATTTGAAGGGCTTCCTCCTTTGGAAAGGGCAAATGCATTGCGAAGGATGGTTCTGTTCTCCAGGTGATTTGAATATCATTACAACCTTGTTAAACTTTAGGACATAGCTACCCCTTGCTGAATGGGTCATGACATATCGCATTTTCTCTTGTAATGAGCTCCATGAACTTAATAGAATGCAAAGTAATGGAGCAGTATTCTACTGCATTAAAAATGTTTTTATTTTGCTATTGAGATCACCCAGCTCATTGCTGATGAACTGGCTGTAGTGACGTACACAAATAGTGCTGCCATAAGCAGTCGTAAGTTGATGCAATGGCTGAGATTGGAGTTTTGTTTTCCTATTATTAGTGTGGTTCCTTAAACTTGTTTCCGTATTGAGTGCTTTGTTACTAGAGATATAGTTCATCAGAAAAATCACCATCTCAATTTTGAACACTAACTATAGCTCCAGTCCATAACAATCTAGTGGCACGGAACATAATATATGCTTACTTACCTGTGGCAAGTGACTACATTGGACATTGCAATAACTCAGACAAAAAAGTGGCAAAATGATTAAACCATGGACAGACGTATGGATTAATCACCATTCTTCCGGTTTTGTACTCTTGATTGCCTTTTTATACCTGACTATTTTTACTGCAGAGTGGAACCTTCTCATAAGAAGATGCTTGTTGAAGCCTTGCAATCACATAATGAAGTGGTAAGCTTGTACCTGTTGATAAAGTTTCCATTGAGCTCTTTAGTCTTCATGGTGATGGAACTTATTTAGTTGCTATGGAATTGATCATGGGAATTTATGCTTCACTTTCCACTTAATGCAATAATTCATTTTGCGCAATAGTCATGTTCGTTTCACATGCAAGGTTGCAATGACTGGTGATGGAGTCAATGATGCACCTGCCCTGAAAAAAGCAGATATAGGAATAGCTATGGGATCAGGAACTGCTGTTGCGAAGGTATTACTTTTTTAAACTGACGTTAAGGTATTAACTGCTTTATAGATTAGAAGTAAACATGGACATTTTGGTACTCATTATCTTGAGAATTTTGTTTCTTTCAAATATTTTCAGTCAATCCTTTTCGAATTTGACAACTTATGTTTACCTTTCTAATTCAGAGTGCTTCAGATATGGTATTGGCTGATGACAACTTTGCTACAATTGTTGCAGTAAGATTATAATCTGACTGATTAACATACAAATAAGACATAACCATTGGATCTATTATGCTTTTTTGTTTACTCAAACTTATTATTATCATTTGCTCACAGGCTGTTGCAGAGGGAAGGGCCATATATAATAACACCAAGCAGTTTATTCGATACATGATTTCATCAAATATTGGGGAGGTAGTTTGTATTTTTGTGGCAGCGGTGCTTGGGATGCCTGACACACTTGTACCTGTGAGTAGAAATCTTTCTTAGCTTCTATGTGTCTTGAGATGAAATATGTGGACTTATACAATCTATCATCTGTAGTTGAATAAGTATCACAATCTTATATTTCGTTTTCGAATTAATGTGGCAAAAAAGTACAGTCATATGTGGCATGTTTATCTTGTCATTATATTTTGCCCCCTGCTTACTGCTGTATAATGTTTTTAACATACATATTTCTGGAGCTTCTTAATTTTATAATTGGATGGAAAATCTGCTTACCTCTACTCCATCACTTTGTAGGTCCAGCTACTCTGGGTAAACCTTGTTACTGACGGGTTGCCTGCAACTGCAATTGGTTTTAACAAGCCTGATGGCAATATCATGGCAGTTAAGCCTCGTAAGGTAATATAAAAAGGGTGTTGTACCTGATGAGAGGGAACTTTCCATCTTGTCATCATTGAATGGAATATATATTACTTATACATGGGCAGCCTAGGCTAATGGTACTATATTCATGTATCTATACCTAACAGTGATACGCGTATCTTATACTCCCTCCATTCCATAATTCTTGTCATGGTTTTAGTTCAAATTTGAACTAAAAGTCTAAAATCACGACAAGAATTGTGGAATGGAGGGAGCACGTAACAGTGATTACTTGGTAGTTTGTTATTTTTTTAATAAACTAATGTATGTTTTAGGTTGTCCCCATTATTATTTTATTTTAATGTTTATACTGACTTCAGTTAAAATTGGTTTAGCAGTTGACTGTATTTGCATAGTGAGTAAATTCATGTAACTTGACAACGTAGCTGTTCTGGCGTTATCAGGAATTCTAAAATCTTCTACCAACTGTGAGATAAAGAAAGTCCACAGGACAATGACCTTATGAAAATCTCACTTCTCACTCTTAGAACTCGTTTGGCACATGAATATTCCTAAGTGATAATTGGATGCTGCAGTGGCCCAAATTCCTTCCTATTAGTTTACTTGTGCACTATGCTATATGTTTATGTGTACACTTGATTCCTTGTTGCGTCCATGAGAACTGTTGACTTATTTCATTTTAATTACTGTGTGGTAATTGCTTGGTACTTATCAAAAAGTGTGAATTGCTAAGTGAGTCGGTTCAAGTAATAGCTATGATTTGAATTTTCTAGTTTGTCGCATTTATTAAGATGCTCTTTCCTGCTGCATATTTGAATTGCAGGTGAACGAAGCTGTGGTCAGTGGATGGCTCTTTTTCCGCTATTTAGTCATTGGTGGTATGCACTAAAGTGCCTGTATTGACATTTGTTAGCTTTGCTTCTGGAATTATTGTTGTTTCTTATAGATTTGTTAATGCAGCTTATGTTGGTCTTGCCACTATAGCGGGGTTCGTTTGGTGGTTTGTTTATTCTGAAGATGGTCCTAGACTACCATACTCTGAATTGGTAAGTTGGGAAGTCAAACTCTTTCTACTTTTTACACTGTTAATTTTTGGTGTTTATTGGGAAGTCTGGAACAGCACAGCAGTAATACCTGATAAACAGGGGTTACAACCCACCCAGAAGCTTATACTTGAAAAGATATTCCTGTAGACTGTAGTGCAGTACTGTATACTTCTTTTTCACTTTATAAAATACCTTTGCTGTTGGCAACTGCTTGCCTATCTCATTGGGTTGGATTTTCCAGGAGATCTTGGTCGACATGCTTGAGTGAGTCCTGCCAAGAAATCTTATACTCCCTCTGTAAAGTAATACAAGACCTTTTAGATCAGTACTTTAGTGATCTAAAAGGTCTTATGCTACTTTACAGAGGTAGTATTTGTTTTCCAAGAAGGAATACGGTTGTAGCAAGCCCTAGTGTAGAATTTGCATATTGTAACAAAAAATATATAAGATGTCGAAACCCTTTCTATATGATTTTTCCCAAATAGCACTGTGAGTAACATGGCATGTGATAATTGATGTGCATTTTAAGTTATGAAATAACTCGTTTGTTCTGAGATCAGCTTATACAAAGAGATTCCTTTGTTGGGCCTCATGGTAGATGGATGGGCCGGTAATGGAGTTTCAAGCTGTCAATTCATATGGCTGTTTGGATGTACCCAGGGATTAAAAAAAATGCTTACATATACATATAAAAAGTTCTGGCGCATAGTCATATGCGGGAGCTGGTCAGGAATGGCCTTTCTCCTGGTCAGGTTTTATTGTAAATTCGAGCATTTAATTTGAATTTGACTTGTTTCTCCTGGTTTGCTGGTCCATCGAAATTTTAAAAGAAATCAAACTTTGATCTGAATTCAAGGTGGTACATTCCTCTGGATCTTACTGCCATGGTTGGTTATTGCTTAGACTTTTAGCCTTTCCTCACCACAGAATCATATTTCACTTCCATACTTGAACAGTTCAATTCTGTATGTTTGAGAGTTCTGAATGTGAAATCAGCAATAAATTTTTGTATGCTTCCCCTACCTCTCCATGCCTGCTTAACAATATTCCTTATGGTCTATTTTCCCCTTCTTTATTTTACTTGAAGTTTCTTATTGCGGCTCTTGTTCAAACATTACTGATTCAGTAAGTTCTGAATATCTTTCTTTTCCTATTGCAGATCAATTTTGATTCATGTTCAACCAGGCAAACTTCATATCCTTGCAGCATCTTTGAGGATCGCCATCCATCAACTGTTTCAATGACTGTTCTTGTTGTTGTCGAGATGTTTAATGCCTTGAATAACCTAAGTGAAAATCAATCTCTACTGTAAGATCCCTTATCTCATCTCATTTTGAGCCTCGATTTCCCCCCGCATATAGCAGCACCCAATACCCATAATTCCATGTGCTACTTCTAATGAGCAGGAAACAGTTGGTTTAAATCTTGATATCTTGATAGATACACATGGATCTCTCCTGCATGATCTTGAAATTTCTCTCTGACCCAGTGGCACTTGTCCTGCTTGTAATATTTGGTCTGCATCTGTAAATAAATTTGCATACCTGAAATGATTTTTGGAACTTCCCTTGCATCAGTGTCATTCACCCATGGAGTAACCTATGGCTTGTTGGGTCAATCATTCTGACAATGCTTCTTCACGTAGCAGTCTTGTATACGGAACCCCTGTCAGCTCTTTTCTCAGTAAGTCACTCATCTTCATTTTTGTGTGGAGTTGTGAGTTGTGACCCACGTCATGCAGTTAGTCACATTGTCACCTGTTCTTTTATACTCCCTCCGTTCCTAAATATTTGTCTTTTTAGAGATTTCAAATGGACTACCACATACGGATGTATATAAGACATATTTTAGAGTGTAATTTCACTCATTTTGCTCCGTATGTAGTCACTTGTTGAAATCTCTAGAAAGACAAATATTTAGGAACGGAGGGAGTAGTAAGCTTACAGTAACGCCAAAGAATTATGATAATCATGGTTTACTTATACAGGTGTCTCCATTAACTTTGGCTGAGTGGAAAGTTGTTCTTTACCTATCCTTCCCTGTGAGTGTTTTTTCTACCTTGAGTTGCCATGTTGTTCAAATTTCTGGTGAACCTAGTCTTTCTATATTAAAACATGGCAAGGACACGTGGGAATTCTGCCCCTACATAAATATTGTTTACACTGTAGCTAGTTATGAACTGGATACTATGTATGTTCCATTTGCACATATATTTTAACTTCTCCTTGGCACTAGGTAATTTTGATCGATGAGGTGTTGAAATTTTTCTCAAGAAGACCTCAAGGTATGTTCTCTAACTGCAGAATTTTCCTTGGAACTTTTAGTTCTACTGCAAATGCTTTACCAGTTACTATTATTTTAGTTAGCCAGAGCTGATCATTTTGTTATTTGCAGCTTGGAGTTTTCCTTTACGGTTATGGAGACGCGAAATGCTTCCTAAAGAAGCCCGAGATAATTAATTTTAGGACTAAGCAAGCTGTGCTTGATATAGCATGAAGCTCGTTGCGGTGAAACTAATTTTGACTAATTCATTTGGACTTGGAAGGCTGACAAACATTGTAGAAAGTTTGTATACCTCCTGCGGATTGTGGCAAACAGATATTGACAGGAACTATGTAATTTTAATGTATGAAAAAAATGAGTAGAGAGTAGTTTTGGACGTGTGTTGTAAGAAATAGCTATATACAGACAGATTGTTCGAACTTGCAATGGACACTTCCAAGACACCGAGTTCACAATTCCATAGCCCTGAATTTTTTATTGGAGACCTATCCCCATTGTCGCTTTACATCTTTAATTTAGGGCATATACAAGAAGCCTCGGTAATAATATAGTCAAGGTTTAAAGCGTTTGCAATGCCCATGTTCTTGCAGAATGAGGATTATATACCACTAGGCCCCACCCCCGCCGCCGCTCCCGCGAGCGGGCCGGGGGAAACCTAGCTCCGCCCCCAGCCTCCTCCGGGTGAAGCCTGGCCGGCGTGGGCGGCGGTGGGGTCGCTCCCTCTCCTCGCGGAGCTCCTGGCCGGCGCGGGATGGCGGGCTGCGGGAGGTGTCGGGCTGTGATGGGGCTTGGCGGCGTGGATCCGGGAGCTCCTGGTGGTGCCGGCGTGTCGGCCCCGCTGGTGCTTCGTGGTGGCGTGGCGGCTGCCTGGTGGGGTGTGCGTGGGTGTGATTCAACGATAGATCTGCTAGGCGGTGCGGGCCGCGGGCGGTGTGGGCGGCGGCTGGGGTCTGGCTTCGGGTTCCAGGCAGTTGCGATGGTTCCTCTTCGTCGCGGGTGTGCGGTGGTTGTGCGACTTGGCCGGTGGTGGTCCGGCGATCTGGTGGTGGTGGCCGGCGGTGCATGTGGTGGTGGTGCTTCCATTTGGCGGCTCTTTGTGTGGGGAGGCAAGGGAGCGGCTTGGATAGGGACGGCGGCCTCGACGGCGTGCCGGCTGTAGCGCGAAGGCGGGAACTTTACGGGCCTCGGAGATCCCGACCGGGCCTGTGCGGCCATGGGCCTGGTATGTTCCTGCTATTGCGTCCGGTCAGCTACCGTCATCGACGGTGGAGGTGGGACCCTCCCGCGTGCCGACAGTGCTGCTGCCCTAATCCCGTCTCCTCTTCTTCATTGTGCAGGCCATGCTTCGCGGTGCCGTGGCGAGATAGCATGGGAAGCTTCTTCTTTGGGTTGGCACAGGGTGGTGGTCGGTTTGGTGGCGAGCTTCAGAGTGCCTGAGGTGAAGGTTGGGATCGAGAAAAATCCCTGTTGGCTTGGCCGACACCGACGCGGTGGCGCATGAGGGTGCCGCCAGCGTCGGGGCTACCCTTCCTCTCTCCTCACCGCGTATCGGGGGAAACCCTTGGCAGCAGCGTCGTCATCGTTGCGTCCCTTCTTGGAGGTGTTGATTGGTACCGGCGTTTCGGAGGCTCGAAGCTTGGTGGGCGATCTTCGGTGGATGCAGCGGCCACGAGGCTTCTTCGTTTTTTGTCGATCCGCCGTTGTCGGCATTTGTTTCTCTTGTAGTTTCTCTTTCATTTCTTTGGGCGTGACTGTGCTGCTTCCGCCCCAGCACCTATTGTTGGTTGTCTTGATTGGTTGTTTTGTATACAAAGCGGGGGAAAACCCTTTTTCGGTAATGAGGATTATATTAACTGTACTTTGAAATGATATTTATTTTCCAACAAAAAAGGTTAAAACTTTTTGTGAGAAAAGAAAATAAATTCATATTTGACTATACAAACAGATGAGCCTGCGTGGGGGAAACAGTGCAACCAAAGCAGGTGCATCAGAGGCTTGTTATCCAGGGGGGTTTATATGGTGCACAAGGGCTTGTGGTGCACCCTACTCGTTGCATATTTATAAATGCTTGAAAATATACGTTTTTAGCACATTGACACAACATTAATCTATGTTGCCACACAATTTCTAATTAAAATCTGGAACATGGCTCAAGATACAAAAATGTTAAATTTCGTATCAATATAGAAAACGTGCCAAATCTAAAGCCCCATTATATTATGTACTATTCAATGCTGAATTTTTCATTTTATATATTGAGCTATGTTTTGAATTATGATTTCAAATTATCCACGTCACACACACACACACACACACACACACACACACAAATTTTATCTACCACCAGTGGTGGTAGTTACCACCACTTCGGTTTGGTATGTTGTTCAAATCGGAATATGTACTCGTAATATGTAGTATCACTTTAGCTACTTTTCGGTCACCTGAAAATAATAGTTATGGTTAGTCGATTTCTTTTCCCACCGATTCATGCACGTAACGAGTGCTGCAGTGTGCATGCTACAGCAGTACATCGCACATGCAGCATGCAGCCGACGCATGCGAGCTTGCTTAATTACCGTGAGTATATTAATCACTAAATAGATGACGGAAGCCCGGATGGCCGAGAGTATTAATCGCCGTGTTTGTCCGGAGTATTTATTCAAATTTAAAGGCAAACGTTATGGTGCTTTTGCTAGTATTTGACAATCGTCTAAAGAAAATCTGTTCATGCTATTTTTCTTTTTCCTTTTATGTGTGTTTATTTCTGTTTCTTTCTCTTGAGTTAGTTTTTTCTGTGTATGTGTAAATGTTGCATGTGTATACGCGTGTATCATATAGTATGTCTATAAATTATGGATAAGTGTATTTTTCTATGAATTATGTGCAAATTTTGTAACCATTTGTTCTAATTTACTTCATATTAAGGGTAATACCAATGCCACTGATTTATTCTTCCTTGGATACTTCATCTTTTATGAAACTTTCACTATTATATGCTTGTTCTTGCATATTATGAAAAAGTATAATTCTTTACAAATTGTGTGCAATTTTGTCATTATTTGTTTTAGTTTTTCGTTTTCTTTCTTCTTTAAGTGTAATACCTAGAGCCACCAATTCATTCTTTCTTAGAAAAAGATTATTTAGTTTTTATTTCTGTTTTAGTGTTGATTTTGTTTTTAGTTTTTATTTCTTCTTCTTAAAGGGCAATACAATTGCCACCAATTCATTCATTCTAAGAAAACTTTATTATTTTGATTTTGTTTTAGATTTATCTCATTTTCTTTTGTTTTATTTCATTTTCTTTCTTGTTCAAGGGTATTACCATTGCCACTAATTTATTCCTTATTTGAAAACTTCATTATTTTGATTTCGTTTTGGTTTTATTTCATTTTCTTTCTTGTTAAGTGTAAAACCAGTGCCACTAATTCATTCATTCTTAGGGCACTTTTTTTGCAAAATTTCCACTATTATATGAGTATCGTTGCATATTATAGAAAAACACAATTTCTGTATAGAATAGGTGCAAATTTTGTCATTTTTTTATTTTTTTATTGTCTTTATTAATAAAGGGTAATACCAATGCCACTAATTCATTCTTTATTAAAAAACTTCATTATTTTATTTTTATTTATTCGTATATTATATGTTAGTTCATGCATATTATAGAATGCGCAATTTCCATGTAAATTGTGTGCAAGTTTTGTCATTTTTACATTTCTTTCTTCTTAAAGGATAGTACCAATGCCACTTATTAATTCTTTCTTACAAAAATTCATTACTATGATTTTCGTTTTTATTTTATTTCATTTTCTTTCTTTTTAAGGGTAATACTAATGCCACTAATTCATTTATCCTGAGGAAACTTTTTTTTCTTCAGAATTTCCAATGTTATATGCTTATTGTTGTGTACTAGAAAAGCTCACATTTCTGTGTAAATTGTGTTCAAATTTTGTTAGTATTTGTTCTCTTTTATTATTTTATTTCTTCTTAAATGGTAATACCAAAATGCTTCTAATTCATTTTTTGTTAGAAAAATTCATTATTTTAATTTTGTTTTACTTTTATTCAAGTTCTTCGTATAGAGAACCTTTTCATCATCATACAAATATTAATTGAACCCTAACTTCATATATTATTATTTTGATTATTTTGCTTTTCTTTCATTTTCTTTCTTCTTTAAGCATACTACCAATGCCATTAATTTATTCCTTCTTACGGAACTTCTTTTGGTGAAAAATCCAGCATTATATGCTTATTCTTGAATATTATAAAATAGTTCAATTTTGTTCTATAAATTTTGTCATTGCTTGTTTTGTTTTATTTTATTTTATTTTATTTTTTCTAGAAGGGTAATACTATGGCACTAATGCATTCTTCCCTAGAAAACTTCATTTTTTTAGTTTTGTTCTATTTTCTTAGTATTAGTATAAGGGGAATAAAAAGGCTAACAAAGAAGAAGAAGGCCGGGCCTTTTGATATAGATCTGTGTTGGACAGTGGTGGAGACGATTTGAATGAATGTACAAAAAAAAGGCGCCTATCGAATAATAGCCCACATAACATGATATATACTCACTTAATTTTTATGCAATATGTGCGATTCTTACCGCTGCGTAAAAATTGCACCACTATATGCTTATTTTTGCATATTATGAAACAATGCAATTTCTACGCTAATTATGTGCAATTTTCTATCATTGTTTGCTTCATACGGCTTTACATTTCCTTTCTTCTTTTGTGCGATGCAGTACCATGCCACTAACCACGGTCGGAGCTGCTAGCTAGCTAGCTCACGCACGGACGCAAACGGAGCTAGCTAGCTCCCGCACGGACGCAGCCAACCGGAGCTAGCTAGCTCACGCATGGACGCGGCCGAGCTAGCTCACACGCGCACGTACACTGCACACAACAGACCACATCACACGCTGCATGCAGAGAAAAAAGTGACTGATCCATATCACAAAGTCAGTCGACTGATCAATAGTCAGTCCCATGTAGTATATAAGAAAGTTTAGGTAGTATATATACTACTTTTTAGGTAGTATACATCATATTTTAGTATATTCTTTTTTAGGTACACATATATATATGTATTTCACAAATATAATAAAAACCATGGGTCAACTTACAGTTTTTTATGTAACTCGCTTTAGAATATGTTATATATAATATATGAACATATTTATAATGATAAAGTAGTATATATAATACCAT